CGGAGGTTCGCAAGGCTGCGGGGGGAGGGGGAGGAGCGGCTCTGACGTACAGGTAACTGCGCCCCTGCCCGGCGCGTGCGCCCCCGGCCCGTGCCTCTCTCTCTGTTGCTTCACCGCGCGCCCTGGTGAAACAGGGGCCCCGCGAGCGCCTCTGCCCCGCCCGCGCTTCTGCCAGATCTCCGCGTGAGTCTGCGGATTCTTACCCCGACCGGGCCAGCCTCGGGGCGCCCCGGGGGCCCGGGGGCTAAAGGGGCCGTGGGAGCCCGGCGGGCCGAGACAGTCCTCCCCTGGGCTCGGCACCTACTGCTGCCTCCAGACGCATCCCGGGAGCTCGAGGACGCAGGTGTTAGGTCCCCTTGACCTTGAGGTGCCGGGGAGGTGCGCAGCCCGCCGGCGTGGGGAGGGAGCGAGGGGAACCCGGCCCGGTCTCTGCAGTCAGCTCCGAGGTCTCCGGGAGAAGGGAGGATTTTCCACTGCCGGAGACCTACAAGCAGGCAGACCAGGTTCTCCTTGCGGAGCAGTGAACAGGCTCAGGAACGTGGACCGGTTCCCGCAGGTCAAGCGTTGCCTCTTACAGCCTTCGGTTAGTTGACAGGTTTATCTGTCCTGAACATCTCACCCAAAACCGCCGTCGGTGTTCCTGCCATGATCACCCCTATGCTCAGGTCCACATTGTCGCCAAGGAAATCTTTTAAAATGCACTCCTCTCGGGTCACTTACCTCCTTAAGACCTTTTATGGCTCCCGTGCCCTCTGGGTCAAGTCCAGGGAGATTTAAGATACGCAAAGTCCCTGGATATCTAACTTCTTGCCCATTAATCCATCCCTATCTTTGTTCTGTTTTGAGAATGTTCCAGTTCTCAAACTCTGCTATACTTTTAAGTCCACGGTAATTAAGCACTTACTATGTGCCAGGCATTGTTCTGGGCACTTAGGATTCAGCAGAGGAAATAATACAGGTGAGGATCCCTACCCTTGTGGAGTTTATAGTCTAGTAGGGGAGACAGGCAAAAAATGAAAACCACCAGTAAGTTATATAGATAGCAGGTAATACGTGCTATGGGGGAAGAAAGTAAGCAGAGTAAGGGGACATTGTGAGGGGGAGATGCCTATTAAATAGAGTAGGAATGAGTAGACTCACTGAAGTGAAGATGAGTTAGCCATGCAGATATCTGGGGTAAGAGTATTCTAGGTGCAGCTGGAACAAAGGACTTATCCAGAAATGTGCCTGTTGTGTATGAGGAACATCAGGATGGCCAGTGTGGCTGGAGCTGAGTGAGCAAGTGCAAGAGAGGCTGGAGATGAGGTCAGAGAAGAAATGGAGGGGCCAGATTGCTGAGAGCCTTTAGGCCATGGTAAGGATTTTGCTTTTCTTTGTGCTTTTGTAGGGTTTTGAGGAAAGTAGTGACATGTTGTAAGTTGCTTTTTAAAAGAATCACTCTGACCACTCTGGACAGCCTTTGTAGTAACCCTGGTGATAGATGATGGTGGCCTGAATCCGTGGTAGCAGTGGAAATAGTGGGATATGGGACTTGATTTCCTGACTTAATGCATAGGGTATGAGGGAAAGGGAAGAGTTGAGAATGACTGGAAGCTTTTGTTCTTAGCAACTAGCAGGGAGGAGTTATCGTCAGGTGGGGAAGGCTGCAGATAAAGCAGATTTGGGACTGTGGATATACATCAGGAGTTTGTTTTTGGACCATTTGTTTGGGGTGCCTGTTACACACTGAAATGGAGATATCGAATAGGCAACTGGATATTGTGTCAGGGGTTCCCAAGGCCACCCTCAGGTTCATTGATTCACTAGAAAGACTCAACAGGACTCAGCTATAAGTCACAGCAAAATCGTACAATGCACAATCATCAGTGGGGAGGATGCATGGGACAGTGGAGGAAACCAGGAGCAGTCTTCTAAACCAAGAGTCCTCTCCCAGTGCACTCACATAGGGCATGCTTAATTCCTCCAGCAACAAATTGTGACAACATATGTGAAAGGTCTATCAGGAAAGCTCTTTTAGAGACTCAGGGCCCAGGGTTTTTATTGAGATTTCGTCACATAGGTACCCTCTATCAAAAATGTACCAAAATTCCAGACTCCCAGAAGGAAAGCAGGTATTCAGTATAAATCAAGTTGCTGGTACAAACAATTTAAGCACAGTGAGCCACTCCTGTCAGTTCTGGGAATGGTGAGAACCCTTCTGAAATCCAAGTTCCTAGACACCAGCCAAGGGCCACCTTGCAAATAGGCCTTTCTAAGGATAGCAGTCTCAGGCCTGCTATATTAATTCTTTTCTGTGCAGATATACAAGTCTGGAATTTGGAAGGAAGGGCCAGAATGGTGATATAGATTAGGGAGTTGTAGGCATACAGATGGTATTTAAAGCCATGGAAATGTCCGCTGTCTTGATAAGCATTTGTCAAAACTGATAGATTGAGCCCAAGCCAGTTTTGCTCAGTGGTTAGAGCATCAGCCTGCAGACTGAAGGGTCCTGGGTTCGATTCCAGCCAAGGGCATGTACTTCAGTTGCAGGCTTGACCCCGGCCCCCTGTTGGGGCACGTGTGGGAGGCAACCAGTCAATGTGTCTCTCACATTGATGTTTCTTTCTCCCTCCTTTCTACTCTCTCTGAAAAGCAATGGAAAAAACATCCTCAGGTGAAGATTTAAAAAAAATAACAAAAAAAACCTTGATAGATTGAGCTGGATGAAGTGAATGTAGAAGAGAAGATGATTGAGACTGCGCCCTGGTGCCTCCAACATTAAGATGTCGGGGAGAAGAGAGGGAAGCAGCAAAGGGGTCTTGAGAAACAGCAGCGGGTGAGGTAGGAGGTAAACCAAAAGTGAGGAGTCCTGGAAGCCAAGTAGAAAAGAAACGAGTGTTGTTTCAAATGCTGCTGAGAAGTCAGATAAGGTGGGGGTTAACAAATAACCTTTTGGATTTAGAAAACGAGAGGCACTGAAGAGAGTAGAGACAACCCTTTTGAGGAGTTTTGTTGTAAAGAGGAGCAAGAACGAGCAGCTGGATGGTAGTGGGGTTAAGAGAGGATCGTCTACTAGAAAGTGAAAAATTATACTGTTGTAACTTGCTCTTTCCCAAAAGCTCAATTTCTGGCCACCATTTTAAAAAAATATATTTTTATTGATTTCAGAGAGAGGAAGGGAGAGGGAGAGAGAAAGAAGCATCAATGATGAGAGAGTCATTGATCGGCTGCCTCCTGCACGCCTCCAACTGGGGATCCAGCCCGCAACCCGGGCATGTGCCGACCAGGAATCAGACTGCCATCTCCTGGATCCTAGGTTGATGCTTAACCACTAAGCCACGCCAGCTGGGCCACTTTTGCCATCAGAGCTCTCCTGAGGCGTCCCTGCTCTGGGTTTCAGCCTGCGCAGGAACAGTCTCCCTCTGGACCTCAGCTTTCATTTAATGTTCTCTGACAGCCAGTTTACTCACCCACATTTCACTCAAACGGCAGTTTCTTGAAGACAAGGACCGTGTTTTATATGTAGATCTAGCTGGCCACTTGGCATATGCAGGCAAATGGGTGAATATAGTGATAGGTAGGATGCTTATTTCATTTCTCGAAAGTGCATCTTCAAGTATTTGCTGGTGTTTGTATGTGTTGAGCAGATTGGGGATGGGAGTGAGGAATGGGACACAGTTATGTCCTATCACTACCCTTAGGGTCACTACCATTGGGAGATAAGAATAGTACAAAAGCCGTGGTGGAACATGAGTTTGGGAAAGGGGGAGGGTGGAGGAGGACTGTGGATTTTGCGTGGAGCCTGGAAGAGAGGAGGCCTTATTAAATGTACAGAAACATCTTAAAAAATAGTAGAATCCTTATTTTCCAATGAAATGTAAGGAACCCCAGTATTCACCAGCACTGCTGTTCTGGCTGAAGAAGGGTTGGGCCTGCCTAGCCCTCCTCTGGTACTGCCACTCCTCTGACCAGTTTCAAAGCTGCGAGGCAGGATCTGGGTTCTCAGACTCCACCCCTGTGGCCATGGGTGTCCACTGCTAACATACAAACAGTCATCTCCAGCAAAAAATTAGGTTAATGTGTTTTCTCAATTTTATGTTCATAAATTTTATATATATTTCCAGCATTTACCAACGTAGGTCTGCTGGAGAGTGAAGCAGATCAGAAAGAGAGGGAGTGAGCTAATAAACACAGAAGTAATGCTGGGCTTGCCATTTTGGTTATGTTTATTATAATTACATGAGTGTAATTATATAATTACATATGGTTTTAAAGTTATTTTGTGCTAATAAAAGCTTCCTATTGTGGGTAACTATTTGTGATGTATGCAGAGAGCACCGTCATATCCAAGCGTTCCTCAAAGAGACAACAGTGTGGTATAAGGGCAGGACTCTGGGGTGGGATATTTGGGAGTCCAGGGACTGACATAGAGACAGGACTACCCTCCCCCAGTATGTCTCCTCTTAGGATTTCTTCTAAGTAAAGGCAACACTTCCACTCCTCTATTCCTGAAATTCTCCATTCTCTCTAGTATAGTAGTCTGTGAAGGTTAGTTTTAGTTTAAAAGAAAATGAGAAATGCCCTAGCTGGTTTGGCTCAGTGGTTAGAGTGTCAGCCTACAGACTAAAGTGTCCCGGGTTCGATTCCAGCCAATGGTGTGTATCTTGGTTGTAGGCTCGATCCCTGGCCTGGAAGGGGGGAGGTGGGGAAGGCAACCAATCGATGTCTCACATCGATGTTTCTCTCTCTCCCTCTCCCCCCCTTCCACTCTCTCTGAAAAGCAATGGAAAAAATAGCCTAAGGTGAGGATTAAAAAAAAAGAAAATGAGAAATGTCATAGTGTAGCAGAAAGAGCAGTGGATTTGGAGTCAGAAGATTGGTGGGCAATTCAGCGTGGTAGTAAAGAGCCTTGATTAGGAGCCAGGGAGCCTGGGTTTGAGTCTACTTAGTATCTGTGTGACCCTGTAACTTAGATGGGCTTGTTGGAAGGAATAAATGAGTTAATATGTAATGCCTGAACCATAGTAATCAATGAGTGTTAAGAAGACTTGGCATTGGAATCCTGGCTATATCACTTACTAGCTGTATGACTTAGCAACTAGTTAAATTGCTCCAAGTCTCATTTGTACTCTTCTGTAAAACGAGGGACAGGCACAGTTTTCCCTGAGAGGCTGCTTTTGTCATCTCTGCAGACTGGGACAGCTCTAGGAGTATTGTTAGTTGGGGTGGAACATGAAGCCAGGTCCTGAGCTCCAAGGCATACATATGGCCTTCGGCATTATACCTGATAGCAAAAGATAGTTTGCTGAAGTCATTTAGACCAGTGTTTTCAAACTTTTTTTTTATTGTTATCCACAGTAAATATATTTTACGTGATGACCGTGTGTGTGTGTGTGTGTGTGTGTGTGTGTGTGTGTGTGTGTACGTATATATGTATGTGTGTAAATGTAATAAAAGTTTCATGAAATAATATTAGCAGTATTAACTCTTATTATATGTGATGCACTGTACAATTCCCTAACCCTTCAGTTGTAGCTCTTAAAAAGTAAAAATTTTAAGAATGGCTCATGACCCAGTTTGAAAAACACTGACCTAAAGAGAGGCAAATCATTATTATTAATGTCAGTCTTCATCTTCATTACATGAGCATCTTATAAACCAGTTTAGTATAGGCCCAAGAGCAGGGGGGGTGATTTCAACCAAGGCTGTCTTGGCCCATAACTTAGACATCACCTGGATAAATTCTAATGAGTCTAGAACTTAAGCCCAACACAGAATTCCTGAGGCTGATGATAGAGAGCTCTGGCCACTTATGGTTAACCTTCCTTTGTGTTTTGGGTGAGTGGTTATGAGAGGATCTGCTTGTGAGGGAATTATTTTTCTTAAAATTTTACTGTGAAGAATATATGCCAAAAATGTTAACAGTAGTTGTCATAGAGTAGATTATTAGTGGTTTGACTTCATATTTTTTTCAAATTTTATTGATTTTTTTTTTTTTTTTGAGAGAGAAACATCAACCTGTTGTTCCACTCATTTATGCTCTCATTGGTTGCCTCTTGAAGGTCCCCTGACTGGGGATCGAACCCACAACCTTGGCTTATCAATACCGTGCTTCAACAAACTGAACTACCTGGCCAGGGCTCAAATTTTCTACCATGAAAATATATTTCATATGTAATCATTAAAATCTCATTTCTCTTAAAAATTATATTACTACTAAAAATCCTTACTTGGCAAAATAAAGGATAAAAAATATCTTTACTTAGCAAAATAAAAAGTAATTCACCATTAGGTAACTTCCATGAGAGCTACTGAAATAAACTATTTCCTTTTTTAATCCCTGCTGATATAAAATTTAAAGTTCTTTCTATGAATGATTATCTGTTCTATATTATATTAGATAGACCACATGTACAAATATCAGTATTTATCTTAAAGGTGCTTCAAGTAATTTCTATTCAGTATTTTAGAGTACTCGAGGGATTTTGTAGCTTTTAAAAATCATTTCAAATTATAGTTGTGTTGAAAAACAGCCCTTAAATTGAGCCTTTTTTATTTCTCATTTAAGAGTCACATTGGGGTCCCAAGAGTACTGAAATATAGAGTTGAGCTTCTGTAGTCTGCTTCATTCATGCCAACAAAAATAAGGCCCAAAATGTTAACAAATATAATTTAGAAGTAGCTAGCTATGTGCTATTGAGTGGGCTTACAGGTAATTGCTATTGTCAGCTTTGTGGTGAATGGAGAGTAAGGAAAAGTCATGAGAATCATTATCAGATCAGCCTGAAAATATAGCCTTGGCACAAAGGAAAGTCATTTTCAGACTTGAAGTATGAGGATATTGACCATATGGCAACCCTTCTCACATTACTATTCACAGTGTAAAAACCATCTTGATGGACTTGGGAAAAGTCTGCCACCGTCATAACACTAGTTTCTACTGCCTTTGAGGTTCTGTAGGAATTGTTTGCTCTCTGGCATGTCAGCGCCTCAGAGCCTCAGGAAACAGTTACCTAGATTGTGAGTCTCCAAGCCTCTTCTCTGCTAGCTAATGCCTCTGCTCCACAGTGGGAAGGTGTCGAAGGTAGAAGGAGGTAAAATGCACATCTGTCCAATTGGTTCATTCCTAACTCTGATTTGCTGGGGTTGGAGGTTGAATTAAAGTTTAGATTCACTCTGGGTTTTATGAAGTAATAATCGGGTGGCAAAGTCAGTATTGTAAGGATGTACTGCATGTCAGTATATAGTCTTTCTCTCCATGAGATTTTTCTTTTTAAAAAACAAGTCATTGAGAACTATTGTTAATGTTTTTCAGTAGCAATGAGTACTAAGCTAATTTGGGGGTTGGAAAGAGTAGAACTAGTGTTTTCACACATATTAGTATCTAGTATGACCCTCATGACATCCTATGAGGTAAGCACACTCATTACAGCTTGAAGACTTACCGTGGTACAGTGCATGGCCCTCCGTATATTCAAACCAATATGGCCCTTTATAGGGGAGCTTCAGTACTAGATATAAAGTGGTCATGGTGTGTATGGTTTATGTTGTAAGAATGTCGGGACGTGGCACTTGTGAAGTAAAACTTATCTGTTGCAGGTTATATGCACCATGGCTATGACTAGTGTCAGATTGCCCACCAATATTTTAAGAAAACCAGATGCCTGGATTGGACTCTGGGGAGCGCTACAAGGGACACGTTCACACAAACTCTGTGCTTCCTGGAATCAATACTTATATTTTTCTAGTACCAAATTAAATGCATCAAATTATAAAACACTTTTCCATAACATTTTCTCACTGAGACTCCCAGGACTTTTAATATCTCCAGAATATATTTTTCCATTTTCCATAAGACTCAAAAGTAATGTAAGCTCTAAAAAATCCACTAAAAAGACTCTGCAAAAAGTCGAAGATGAAGAGGACTCTGATGAAGAGAGTGATCGTAATGAGCTGAGTGAGCAGGAAGAGGAGCTTGAGGATGATCCCAGTGTGGTCAAAGACTATAAAGACCTGGAAAAGGCAGTGCAGTCTTTTCGGTATGATGTCATCCTGAAGACAGGCCTAGATGTTGGCAGAAAGTAAGTGTGATGAGCATTTTATTGTGATATCACTTTCTTCTCATTATGTTAACATAGCATTACCAATCCCTCAGCCCACGTTATGGTGAAGAGTAACCACAGATATGAGAAGACTGCCTGGCCAGTGTCGCTCAGTGGTTAAGCGTAGACCCATGAATCAGTAGATCACCCATTCGGTTCCCGGTCAGGTCACATGCCCAGGTTTCAGGCTCAGTCCCCAGTAGGGGGTGTGCAGGAGGCAGCCAGTTGATGATGTTTCTCTCTCATCGATGTTTCTCTTTGATGTTTCTATTTCTCTACCCCTCTCCCCCTCTCTCTCAAAATCAAAATATATTTTTTAAAAAAGAGAGAACTTATAGGAAACCTGTTTCAATTATTTCATTCTATAGATGAGAAAATTGATTCCCAAAGAAGTGACTGCCTGTGAGTCTCATGCCACATTTCCTTGTTTGTAAAACTCCCATAGGACTGTAAGATGAACCATTGATTTCATAACATCTTTGAGGAGAAAAGGAGTCGCCATGTTAGATGTATATAGCAAGCATAAGTGCATGTGGGTTTCACAAATGCTGCAGCAGAAAGAAAATACCTCTTAGAACCAATGGAAGCAGTGTAGCAGGGTGGCTAAGAATGCAGGTTCTGCAGCCAGACTGCTGATGCTTCCATCCTGATTCTGTGTCCGACCTTGGGCGTACATTCTCTGTGCTTCGGTTTCCTTATCTGTAAAATGGGGATAATAGAACCCCATTCTAGAAGGTAGTTGGTAGGATTAAATGAATATTTCTTTATGTATCTAAAAGTACTTATAGCAGTGCCTGGCACATAGTAGGTTATGTTACCTATGATGATGAAAATGCTTTGTATGTGTGTTCACATATAGTGCACAGAGATATTAAGTGTAACTTTCAAGATTTAATATTCTCATTCTCTCCTAGACTATAATTATATAAGAATAGTGACCCTCATTGTTCGTTCATTCCTGTAGCAATCATTGTGTGCATACTGCACGCAAGGTAAGAATTGTGGTATGAAAAATGCAGAAAGATTTCTTTGTGTAACTTGTATCTTTATGACCTAACTTAATGGCATAGTTTAATTCTTCAATCTATGAAGCTTAAGGATTCGTAAAGGCAACTCTGAGCCCACAGGCAACCTGATTGGGATTTGTTGAATGTTCTCTAAAATCTGGCAAACCCATAAGGGGACCTCTCTCAGAGTAGTAGCTGCTGCTGTTATTAAACACACACAACCTCAGATGCCAGTCACCTGGAATCAGAGCATCAGGGCACTGATTTTTGTCTGTGCCCTCCCCTGGTCTAGTTGCCCCAGTGATTAAATTCAGAGAGATCAGCAGCTGCTGGATTGGAGTTTCCCCAACTTCAGTGCAGACTAGTAGGGGATTTCTTAATGGCCTCACCATATGCATGGTGCCTCATTTTTCTCTCAGAGCAGAAAGCAGGTATGTGACGGGAAGGGAGTGCTCTCTTGCTTTGTCACAAGTCACAGGAGCTACCACCTTAAAGGGAGTTGCTGTGCAGGGAGTTAGGTGGAGAACCCAGCCCTGTCCTAAATGGGACAGGTGCACATGCCCCATCAAGGTACTGATGACCTGCCTGATGGTCCTAGCAAGTTTTTACAGCAGGTCAGCATCTAATCAGAAGTACCCTTTGATCTTGTTTTGCTTACATATGGGAGCAGTTGACTTTCACTTTCCCAGCGCCCAGACAAGATTTTGTGGGAAGGTAGGTCACTGTCAGAATAAGCATTAATGGCAGGTGTGTTTCTTAAACTTGTATAATGGTTTTGAATATATTTCTATTTTAAAGCACTTTGACTTTTTTTTTTTTTTTAAGCAAAGTGGAAGATGCATTCTACAAAGGTGAACTCAGGCTGAACGGGGAAAAGTTATGGAAGAAAAGCAGAACGGTGAGATATTAAGACAGCCAGATATTTTTGTCTGTTGCTTTGTCAGTACTCAGTGCTGCCCCTAATTTCCCTCGGGCTCCTTACTTGGAGCATCCCTGTATCTGTCTTACCATTTCTGAGGTCTTCCTAGAGCCTGGTCATGCTACTGAGAATCACCATCCGGCTTCAGTCACACAGACCACCTGCTGTTTTGCAGCCGTAATGACTTTGAGATGAAGTTTATGACAATCAGAACTGGCAAAAATCTATTATTTAAACTTCTGAGTCATTAGTGTTAGGCCCCATGAAATCATAATAATCAGACTAGAAAGAAACATTTGATCCATGGAGAAGTTTTTTTGGCCTGCTGTTACCTGAGCAGAGGTGTGATTCTGTGCAGCCCAGCAGCATACCCCTCCCCCAGCACTTGCTGGGTACATTGCTGTGTGCAGGCAGCTATAAAACAGGAGGTGCTATGTGTTCTGACAGCTCCGCCTCAGTACTACTGTTAAGTGAAAGAAGTCACTTAGAAGTGTTATGGATTTCCAGTATCTAGTGTTGTTACAGTAAATCATATATATAAATTCTGTTAAATACATGTATTTTTGTAAAAATAAATTACATAAGTACGTACATCTAGAATTAAAATATTAATATTACTAGTATTTTTTTGAGTGGGGCATTATGGGTTATATTTTCTTCATGCTTCTCATTTTCTTAATTTTTTACAAGTATGTATCACTTTTATAATTGGAAAAAACAATAATGAAGGTGAAAGTTAACAAAACAAAAAAATGTGTGACACAGACCTATGGGGCATTGACAGACAATCTAACTCTTAGTGTCCAGGGAACAAGTGTTCCAGGGAAGTTAGACACACTTTTGGAGGTTTTTATTTTAGCTTCTCTAATATTTCAAAATAGCCCTGAGGCTGGAGGACCTGATCTGTATCCTGTTGCCCTGGGACATAGGGAGGGGTTGGGGTTGGGGGTGTTGAGCCAATAGCTCTGGACGTGGGTGAGCACTGAGGCTTCCTTCAGAGTCCTTTCTCCCAGGATCAGAGTGGACAGGATAGTGGGGGGAGGTGGGGATGGACTCCTCAGTACTGTGTCAGCCTCCAAGTCACAAGGCCCACGATCCCTCTGATGGCACCTGACCAGCAGGTTCAGACTGCAGGCGTCAGTCATTGCTCGGTGAGCCACAGGAAATCAGGCGCTCGGACTGCGCTTCTGGAGATCAGGCCCTTCTCGACCCTTAATCGCTTTTTCGTGGCTGTAGCCCTTCTCTCCAGCCACAATGTGCCAAGGACAAGACCTGCTCTTGGCACACCCTGTGTCTGTGCTGGGGTCTCATTTACAAACACCACAAGCCTGTTTTTCTCCCTCTGCTATGAGATATTGTCAACTACAGCCTAATTGCAGCTTCATTCTGCCTTGGGTGTTCTGTTGTTTCGGCTGCCTTCATATTTCTCCTGGGGGTCAGCAAAGGAAGGGGGCAGTATTAACACTCTGCTGCCTTGTTACTAGGAGACCTGGTAGCCATAGTAACTGCAGCTAAGGGGAGATTTGAAATGTAGATATTTGGAACAGCCTCTAATCCCAGCCAGTTTTGCTTTGTGTCTGCTGTGCTGTCTGCCACATTAGGAAGGACAGGACGTTGCAGGGAATAAAGCACCTCCTCTTCCATGGGCTGCTGTGTGGGGCCTGTGCCTGGCTGCTGGCCCTGAAGGGTCAGGCGCTTGCTGGACGCTGCAGTTAGTTGTAACCTGGCTGCCTGCAGCTGAGCACAGCTGTCCTGTGAGCTGCAGATCAGTTGGGGCGCAGAGTGCTGTAGGTACTGGGTAACTGCTGACTCAGAGAGTGTGGATCCCGGGTATGGGGACTGAAGCCTTCCTAAATCTCTCCCTGGGATAGGCTGGGTAAAGGACAAAGATTCCTTCCTGCTTTTCAAGTACACGTGAGAGCCTGCTCTTCTCTTACGGGGCAGATGTCACCCACAGTATGTCTACGAGAGGGTATATGAGAAGGGTTGCCCTTTCGTACCTTTAAATTTCATATCATGTGCACACATTACTTAATAAAAAATGAGTTTAAGTGAAACAGAGTTATGCCAAAAAAGGTAAAGCAGAGGCCCCAAGCCTTATATTTTTGAACATTTTAAGTGTCCACACAGTTAGAGCTGCGTGGTCATTTTTTAAAAATTGAACCCAGCAGAACTATAGGAGGATCCCCCCTCAGGTGATTCCTAGGTCAGCTGATCCTTCAAACCCAGGGGTAGAAGCGGTCTTCATGCCGAGCCGTGGTGTGAGTCTTTCTGCTTCTCAGTCCAAAGGGGAGAAAGTTAATGGTTTAAAACAGGCCCCTGTGTGGGCTGCCTGGTTTGACCAGTGTGGCATCCTGGCGAGCAGGTGTGCAGTCCCACGTTGTAGACTGAGTATTGGGCCTACAAAAGCCTTGTGTGGGTGGGAGAACAGATATTCTGAAAGCATGAAATTATGACTGCCTCAGAGAGCATTCACTGGAAAATAAGGTAAAAGTCAGCATCTAGCACTGTGCTTCTTAAACAGAAGCCTTCCAGTAGGCTTTTAAAGAGTCCATGGCCCACACATGGGGTCCCTTCCCCTTCCCCTTGGAAGAGTAGTGAGCAGTCTGAGATGGCCCTACTCGTCCCTGGCTTGTGTTCTAGTAGAAGCACATGGCATATGGGTTGATTTAGCCCCTTCCTGAGTTGCTAGGCACATCCCCTGGAATCTGGAATTGCTAAGACCAGGTATCCCTCCTGGGCTATCAGCACCCTGGCAACAGTGACATGACTGTCCCAGGGCATGCCCTGCACTACCTCAACCCAAAGCTCCCACCTGGGTAAGAATGGGTTTGACCTCAGCCCTTTGAACCCACTGAATCAGCATCCAACTCTACTCTCTTTTCTGTGGCATTCCATCTTTGTGAGTTGAGGAGTTCTGTCTCTTCTTTTAAAAAAAATATAATTGGTATACAATATTGTATTAGTGATATAGTTTTAGGTGTACAATGTAGTGATTAGACATTTTTATACCTTACAGTGTGATCACCCCACTAATCCTAGTGATCATCTGTCACCATGCAAACTCATCACAATATTATTGACTGTATTCCCCTTCACCTTTTTCACACACACACACACACACCCCTGGTAACCATCCCTTTGGTCTCTGTTTCCTGTTTTTCTGCTTGATGAAGTGGCATCACTGGGGCCAGTCAGGGCTAGAAAAGCAGTTTCTTTACTTCCATTTCTCTAAGAGATACAGCTGACCACTGTTCCACAGTGACTTCCAACAAACTGCCGAGAGCCCAATCATGTAGCTCATCTGGGTTGAAATAATGAAAAGTGTTACACTGGAAATTGTCTTCTCAGTGCACATGGTAAGTACTATGCACATAACCTCTAAGATTGTGCCCCACTTTTGATGATCAGCTGGTGAAAACTCAAAGCAGAGATGTTTGCATTGGCCTGAGTTTCCCAAGATGTAATAAAGGCTCAGTTTTCTCTTAATTTTCAGGTGAAAGTGGGAGATACATTGGATCTTCTAATTGGAGAAGATAAGGAAACAGAAACAGAAACAGTGATGCGGATTCTCCTGAAAAAAGTCTTTGAAGAGAAGACTGAAAGTGAAAAATACAGAGTGATCTTACGACGGTGGAAAAAGTTAAAATTGCCTAAAAAGAGTACAATGAAATAAATGGATTGGTTTTTAGTGATAAAGCTGTTTTTTAATGGTGGGGGAAGGAGCTAGCTCAAAAGGCAGACATTTTTATTAAAATAAAGCTCTCTTCTTATTTGTGGAATCCGCTGAGCCATTTTCTGGAAATCAAGATCCATATCTTGGAGACACACCCATTGCCTGGATTTCCCTCCGGGGCTTGATTTGTGCGCATTTTGACCTCTGGAGCATGAGTGAGATGTGTGCTGAATGAACCCAGCCCAGTGAGGGTTTTAGTAACTAGCCTGTCGTTTCCCACGGTAACCACCTCAGGAGACTGTGAAATAAACTGGCCTTGTTGTTAGAGTTTTTATTTCAACTTTATCCCTGTTGGCCAGCTTCCCTGGGTCCAGGCTTCTTAAGGCAAAGCCAAGCCAAGTGAAGGTCACCCTTCATAGCCTTAAGGGAGCAGAGGGACACCCTGTGGTTCTCCACCAGCCTTTCTGAATTACCAGCTTGTTGGCCTTAGTTCCCCCTTCAGTTTGTCTTCAGAAGTCTGGATGAGTAAAGTTCCAAGTAATTCCAAATGGGCTAGTTTAGGGCAGGGGCTGGTAAACTAAAGCAGCCAGAGGCCTTTTGCACGGCACTCAAGAATGGTTTTTACATTTTTAAAGGGTTTGAAAAATGAAAAGGAATATATGATAGAGACCTTATGTGGCCCACAAAGCCTAAAATATTTACTATCTGACCCTTACAGAAAAAAGGTGGTGACGCCCCCCCTTCCCCCCCAGTGGAGGGTAATAAGCTGAGGGTTTAATTTTCAGGGGAAAGTAGAAAATACACAGATTTTATCAATGAAAAGAATAAAGAATCAGAGACTAATGCTAATTCTCAAGAGTGTGATAAAAGGGATGAAGCCTAAACATATAAAGTAGTATTAGAAAGGACATACACAAATATACATCATCTAAGGAAAGGTCATCTGCATGAGTAAATTAGTCTGTGGATTCCTAGGAGCTGTTTCTTAGCACTGGAAGGGTCAGGTCAAATAGATTTATTAGCTTGTGTAATGTCAAAAGGACAGGCTGTGTCTGGCTCCAGGAATTCTTGAGAATTGAGGTTAGCTGACAGTGGAGGGAAACATCTGTAGCCCAAAGCAGTGGGCTGTTTGGGCCCACGAACCAGCTCAGGTTTCAGATGACCCAGGGACATCAGTTTTCATTTGAAAGCTTAAATAAAGCTCTCAGGAAGAAATAATATTGTATACTGGGCACTGTAACAGAGGAAACTTTTCTATTTTACGACTTATTGGGCTTTACTAAGTCCGTAAAAATAGCACATTTAATTTTGACATGAGTTAGTTATGAATTATAATTAGGTTGTATTGATAGCCATACTTTTCATTCCCTTCACCTGTCACTTTCTCCCTTCCCCTCCCTTCTCTCGACTTCTCCTTGGAAAGTAAGAGAAAGCCTACGAAGTCTTGGATGGTGAGGAACAGCATGATCCAGTGATGTGTAGTCTTGCCATTAGCAAGTTGGATCACCTTGGTCATAGTTTGACCTTAACCTCTCTGAACTTTGGCTTCTTCACAGGTCAGATGGGGATCAGGATACTAACTGCCTTACCTGTGTCTTTGAAGGAGAAAGAAAATTAACATGTACAAGGCAGATGAGTTGGTAGCTAGAGCAGGAAGGCCCATAGGAAAGGCCTTTTGAAGCTACTGGTCATTCATACCTAACTTAGCTGCTTGGCAGGGTTTAACCCATACCAGACTTCTGTTTTTAAAAATCAAACTAAGAAAGAAGATACCTGACGGTAGAGAATGTTGCTTTGGTCACAGCACATGGCAAAAACTGATCAGAAACAAAAGCAGTTCATAAAGATGTATGGAACTCTCGCAGCTCATTCATTATTCAACCCAAATGACAACTGCTTCATAATGCCGCCCTGGCAAAGCCTCCTCAGATAAAAGATTTGGATGTTCCTAATGCAGTGGTTCTCAGTGGGGGTGGTTTTGCTGCCTGGGTACATTTGGCAATGTCGAGATATTTTTGGTTGTAAGCTGAGGAGGTGGTATGGGCATGGAGTGGGTAGAGACCAGTGATGCTGCTAAACATCCTGTGGCCCCACAACAAAGAGTTATCTGACCCAAAATGTCCATAGTGATGAGGTTGACACCCTCCTCTAATGGGATGACAAGGAAGATTTTTTTTTTTTAATAGTGCTTGTTTTCCCGTAAGTATAAAAATGTCCCCAGTGTATGTTTGCAGTTTTTAAAGGATGAACAATTTAAAGTTATGACTGTTTGTAGAGACCTGTCTAGCCCTTTACCAGTAATGGTTAATCCTTTCAAAGAAACAGCTTTTTTCCCTAGGAAATATGCTAATTGCATTTCTCAGCCAACAGCATTTATATCTTTCCTGGAAAATTATATAGATGGCTAGGCATTAGTTTCATTGTCTTTTTAGCACTTGAGGGAGAAAAGTAGACATCTGGGGGATAAGTCATGGTTTATTTGGTGAGTAATGATTGGGGAGAGAGAACCATAACTGCCATTTTTCAAGAAAGGAAAAAGAAAACATTTCAGTTGGGCTGGTAGTGCATGGTCCCTGAGCCTTAAAGGGTGTACCATGTACATCATGACATTCTACTAAAGTTCTGCCTTATCTTGGACATAAAGATTTTGGCTTTCAAAAAGTTACTATCTGGATTATCATACAACTTACGATCTCGGAGCAGTGAAGGAAATTGTAAACTCCATCGAGGAGACTCGGGAGAGCAGCATGTCTGCATCTCCCAAACTGCTTCCTTTGAAAATCAGCCTTAGTAGTTGTATTCTCACCTTGGAAATCAGTAAACACCATGAATCAGGGTTTATTTTCCCTTGGAGAGCCAGTTGTTAAACATTTACCAACACACTGTTGGGTGGAATGGGGACGCACGCCCACACGGTTTTCCATTAGGAAATGCCCTCTCGCCAGTACCCACCCTCCAAGTGCTTTCAAGTTATTTTTTCTCCTCTCTTGTTTTCACGTATTTCCACAGGTCCTCCTCCCTTATTTTAACTAACTATTCTAATGTGTGTAATGTGTATCTTTGTATTCATTCTTGTAAAATGTGTTTTGCTGTTCTGTGCACATGTGTTTAAATTTCATAAATGGCATTGCTATATATTTTTTTGTATCATTTTTCACTCAGAATGGTTTTTAAGATCCATCCATGACATACAGGTACATCTAATCTGTTGCTTCTCTCTGCTGCATAATAAATCCCAATGTGCATCTACCACATTTTGCCTACCCTTTTTTTTTTTTAAGAAAGAGAAACACTGATTTGTTGTTCCACTTATTTGTGCATCCATTGGTTGCTTCTTGTATGTGCCCTGACCAGGGATCAATCCCGCAACCTTAGAGTATCGGGACAATGCTCTAACCGACTGAGTGCCCGGCCAGGGCCTTGCCTGTCCACTCTTGCAGTGATGTTCTTCCAGACCCCACCAACTCCCCTCACCACAAATAACAGTGTTTGCTTACTCCCCACAACAGCTGCACCAGGCTGCCCTCCCACCAGCAACACACAAAGTGCCTGCAGACCCACAGCCTTGCCCAGCCCTGGCACGATCCAACTTTCCGACTTTTGCCACTCTAAGATAGGTCTAAAGAGGTGTAGTTACTTGCAACATACACTGTTCATAGGTTCTACTTTCCTGTACATGCAGGCATTTAAACAGCATGAGCAGAGCGGGAAAGATGGGCCAGGTACAGAGGGTCACCAGGGCAGAAAGCCCTGGGTGCCTAGCAACAGGCAAAACTACAAGCCCTCGCACAACCACTCCCTTAAGCATTAACCCCTGGAAGGTGACATCTAGGCTTCAGCTGTTTCAGATACAGGCCCAGAGAAGCAGCAAAATCAGACAGAGTAATGCCAGGACATCAGGACCACCTGCATTGACTAATGACCTCCTAGCGCCGACCAGTCAGTGGAGACACGGAGGAGATACACCAGGAAAACTGATGGATGCTCTCGAGATCCTCTCCTCATACCTCCAGATAAAAGCTCTCAGGATGGAGGCCCCAGTGAAGCCCTCTCTGCAAAGCACCCAACTCCTTTCCCTGCCCTTCTTTTCCCAGGGCATGGTCTTTTTTTCCAGAGCAGCACCCGCCTCTCCTCCCTCTTTCTAAGCTCCAAGGGCCCTTCTAGTACCTTGGTAACTTTCTAAGTGAACTTTCCCTTAAGTTCCTTGGCTCTAAATTCTTTCAAGCGGAACTCAAGTACAAAGGTTGCTGAACCGAGGCCTGACCTACTTCGTTGCTAACGCCTGGTGCTGTTTTCCCACCGCTAACACAAGCTCCCACGGCCCACTGCTCCTGCCTTTTGGTAGCTGCCACTACCCTATCTGTTGCTTGGAATTTCACCGAGCGCTCTGAAATGGCGTGCAGCCTTCTGAGACCGCTGCTCTCAAAGACGTGCTTGCTGGCCCTTTTAAGTTTTTTGTTCATCATTATTGGTTAACAGACCAGGTATATCAAAAGCAGGATGGTGGAAGTCTACGATTTTGCAAGGTCCTGAGGACATGGATCACTCTTGATTCCACTGTAGAGATGTCAACCATCCAGTCAGCCTTCCAGCTGGGGACTTTATTAAAACTGAAGAGACCTTCCCCAAGCAGACAAGGGGAGCTGCAAAGACTGTAGTCAGTGTAGAACAGCAAGTGTCTAAAATGGGCAGTTTCTATTTAGAGATCTGGACTGGTTATATACATTTCTGGACCCCCATTCAGAGGAATTAGATACTGTTCTATACTTCCCCAGAGAATATGTAGCAGATTGTCTTTAGGATTTTAGGGGAAATCCCTTACCTCTTGATTCTGAGACAAAGGTGAGGTTGAAATCATAGCAGCCAACTCTCGATCTGAGCAACACCATCACTATTAATAACCTGAAGAGAAGGAGCCTATCCCCGTGGGCCTAACATATGCTGGAGTATACGCCCCATCTGCCTGGAACTGTGCCTGTGCTGAGATTTCAGCTCGCCAAATCCAGGAACTTGGGTTTCATACCTTGTGTCAGAAACAGCAGGAACTGAACCCCAGAAAGATCAGGGATGTGGTGTTCTGCAGCCAGCACTCACAGCACATGTAGGAACCGTGTTCCAGTCTGTGAGAAACAGAAGCGTCAGGAAACTGGAAACCCACAGGAGTGCCTTAGGTCAGAGCCTCGCCCAGTTCATCGGGGATGGCTTCTGCTGTCTGCACTGAGGGGAAGAGCCCAGGCCTCAGTCTGCTTACTCCCACATGCATCTTGAAAGTCAATTTCAGGCCAGAGACGTCACGTTCTGTGCTGTTTACCATCAGAACCTCCCCTCCAAGCTCAAACAGGCTTAATTAGCAGCGAGTGAGGTTGGGACTTGTGAGTATCATGGAACAGTGCCCAGAAGGTAGCAGGTGTTTCAAATGCTTTTGCCGAATGAACTTCCTAGAGGCGGAGATGATTCCTCCCGCATTCCAATTCCATTTCCTGTGGCATTAAAAGATTTTGTGGGTCAAACACTGTCTCACCTGGATGAATTCAGAAGCTCGGAGACTGTGGACAGTTAGCAGAAGTTAAACAGTAGGGAACCACTAGGTAGAGAGACGGAGAAATGTACTTGACACAGCTACGTGAATGGCAGCACAGAAATCGAGAGCACAAACTTTGGAGTCAGCCTGGCAGTCATTAGAGGCCCCCAGCTCTGCTACCTATATGACCTTGACGAAGTTATTTACTTAACCTCTGGAAGCATCTCCTTATGTAAAACGGGGGATAAAAATATCTAGCCCACAGGGTTTCTGTGAGGCTTAAATGAAATGCTTGTGAGGTCCCCAGCACATTCTTGACCCATTACAGGAGCTCAGAAAATGGGAGCGCTTAACAGAACTCCCTGTAATTTAGGGACCTGTTGTCCCTTCTGAATACACAACAGGAGCTTCTGGAAGGAGGAGCTGCAGCATTACATGCTCTCAACCTCTGTGAAGGACACAGTTGACCATCTGGACTACAAATTCTACTCAGAACAACAAATGAATTCTTACTCCTTAAAATAAAATCAACGCACATGCCTCACCACACAGAAATGTTCTGGCAAAGGACAATGCATTTGGGCAGCGCCCTAAAGCCCCAACGCTGAAGCATCGCAAACCGCCTCTTCCTACTGACCTAAAAGCTAAGATTTTGTTTACCACTAGCTTAGTAGTAGTCAGTTTTATTTGAACACAACAGGAAACCATTCACACTTCAGCTCGTATCTATTTCTAATGATCAGGAAAGTGCTAAACCTTCAGTTTTTATATATACACAGATATTCACAGCGGATTTTGTGAAGTTGCTATAGTGCAGTTCTCAGAGTGCGGTCCCCAACATCAGCACCAGCACCACCTGGGAATGCTGAACCTACTGAATCGGAACCTGGGGTGAGGCCCCGTGATCTGGGCTAACATGTCCTCTGGTGGTTCTGCCCCTTGTGGGTGCTGACGGAGTTTCTCCGATTCCCTTTGCCGCTGTGCCCATCCTGTAACTGTTGAGGGACAGAGGCCCTTCTGGAGCCAAAGAGAGGCACCCTGTCAGGCAAGTTACCCCCTTCCCACAGGCAAGACCTCAGACACATCATTAACCGGCCCCTTTGCCTCAACTGGGACTAATTCTGCCAAACGATTCATATTCTAGAGCTTCTCAGTGGATGGGAATGAAGCTAGGCTGCAGTGGAAACCACAGTCTCACTCCTGGCCTTCCCTGGCCCCATCCTGCTTTCCCCAAAGTCCTCCTGACAGCACACCCTAAATCAATTGCACAAGAGCCACTCCCCACACACACTCCTCCATCCCCGGTCCCAGGCTCTGCTCTTACGGAATGCAGTCCACAGCAGTTAATTTCACAACCTCAAAAAATGTACTACTACCAGAACACGTCTGTCTGCAATTCCCAGTTATTTCACCCAGGGCAATTCTAAAACCAGAGCACCCATATCTAAGCCCCCTAGAGACTTAGAGGATGTGGGCGAGAGGACACAGACTTGCAATTGTTTTTGGATCTGAATCTTTGTGTATTGTATGGCTCAGGGGGGTTAGCTCCTGAGACGCTGTGATATGGTAGAGTCAAGTCTGGATTCAAATCTAGACATCACAATTTGCAAATTGTGTCAACTTGGTCAATAAAACTACTTCTCTGTTCTTCCTTACCACAAAACAGATAACAGTGCCCAAGACACTGAGTTTTTATGAGAATTAAATGAGATGGTATAACATCATTCAGAGCCTTAGCTTTCTTGTCTTACCAGGCATAATTATGGGAATTACCTCACAGGGCTCTTGAGTGGGTTCTATGATCCAGGTACAGCTCTCAGGGTGCCTGGCACATGGTTTACACTAAACGAATGTCAGGTGCCATTATAAGGAGCAGGCTTGATACATGTTCATTGCTTTCCCACCACAGGCCAGGGGATTTTAGATTTACCTGGAAGCTCCCTTAAAGAGTCCATTGCAGTAATAGTGGTAACTACTTTGGTGTGGTGCTCTTATCTCTGAGAACTAGATTTCACAAGTAAGCTCGTATATATTAAAATTCTCTGAATTTTCTTTTGGGTGGAAAACAAAGGTACTTACAGCTAGAAGGGGCTTAAAGAATTTAGCCTTCAGTCAAGTCTTGCTTAAACTCGCTTGTGTTATTTCGCCTTCGGGGTTCCAGCCCTTGACCAGTCCCAACCTGCACACGGCTTAGCACCCAAAAGTGTCAGGACTCACAATAGCAAACACTTGCTGGAGGAAAAGTGTTCCAATCACAAGCCACAAGTCACTTCACACACTGTGACCCTTGGGCCAAAAAAAAAAAAAGTTCCTCCTCTTACAGTGTACAACATTATTTGAAAAGTTATTCAAAGTTGATGATTTATAATTAGCCAAAGGGTGAGAAAAAACATGCATCCTCTTGCTGTCGGTTAATATGTTAGCTTGGAGGAACGAAATCCTATTTAATCCAAAGGGAAAAGAGTGAGATGAAGCTCTGCTCGCCCGGCCTCAGGCAGGGAGCCAGTGCTGCGCTGGCCAAGAAAGGTGAGGCCAAACGCACCTCCCTCGGTGTGGCCAGGAAGTGGTTTGTGCAGAAATGGGCTAGGATTTATTTGGTGGCTTCTCAGTCATTCAGCTGTGACAAACTGACGCCCTGTGAGCTGCGGCCCTGACACCCAGAGTGTGGAAGCCCCAGAGGCGGGGGTGTCCCCAAGCATTCAAGTCCCCCCCGGGAATGGGTAGGAGGCCGCACGGAAAGACAAACAGACCAAGACGCGTTCTGAGAGCTCTCTTCCCTAAGAAAATAAGATGTTATGAGACCGTATTTTTTCTATTTTTTTATAACATTTTATATAACTCATAAAACAGTGCTTGTATAAAAATTCACACAAAGTTGCTAGAGAGCATACAATTTCCAAAAATGTCCTGGGTTTCTGTTACATTCAGTTTTCTAAGGGTGCACTCAAATCAATGGTAAAATGCGGACATTATGTGATATTTCATTATCTTTGGTAAAACTATTCTCATTATTCTGTCTCCTCACAGTATTAACTCTGATATCCACTTTGTGCAGGGTCTGCTATCACTAGGATGTCAGAAAAACATTAAGGCTGGATCTACGCGAAGCAAGTATTTCCAAATGGCAATAATAGCCCCTTGGCCCCCACCCCCACTTCATATCATCTATTTACACAGGCAGGTGAGAGCTCAATGACCTCCAATCAGGGGTCTTGAGACAAGCCCCCCTCAATCAGGCAAGAGGCAAACATTTGGGGGAAAGGTGGAGACTGAGGCCATCTCTCCAGGAACCTGGCGGCCACGCTGTGGTATGGTCAGCCAGTGACTCTTACCATTTAAACAGCTACTCCGTTCATCACTAAGTAGATCCCATTGGTTGGGTGATGATTGCTGCTGATGTGATTCCCCTCCCCCCACCACACACTTAAAGGAAGGTACAGGGTGGACACTGAATGGGGAGGGGCACATTAACGCCCACGACACGAGACACGACTTTATTCCCTGTCAAATGGTTGTTGTCATGTAGACACAGCCAAAGTGAACTGAAGCAGGATTAGAACACTTAGTACATTCATGACTATCTTCATACATTCTTTTAAAAGTTACTAACACAGAAAATGAGGGGCACTAACACCTATTGTGACTTGCTATTTTACTTAAGATCAGAATGTGTCTGTGCTAATTCTTTAGTTCTCCGGATACAAGGCAATAAAAAAAAAAATCCGAAAAACATGTAAAAACCAAAAAAATTTAGACAGAGAGAAGGAAGGGATTTGCCAACAGATTTTATGGAAAACATTATATTTTGGAAAAAATAAGTATTTTGTACTTGTATTGCTTCATGTAAAAAACTGCCCTTGGAGCCCACCTGCATGGCTGGAGAACTGAGGACACCACACAGAGAGACACAGGGCCTGCTTGCGCTTCCTGATTGACAGTCAGAGGGACAGGAAACAGCTCCCAGAGTGTGGCCACCTCTCTTCACTGAACGGGACTCTAAGATTTGGAGGGGTGGGGAGAAGAAGCCCTATGCAGAAGGGTATTGGGACCACCAAAATATGGTTTCCAAAAACTGAACATGCTCTAGGTTACAGAGATGTATTTCATCCTTAGAACCTAGAACTGTTGATTTTTTTTAACGTGGGTAGATAGGATTTTTAAAAATTATTAATAAATGATTGTGCTTCTGAAGTTGCAGGGTCACATTCCACCCTCTAGAAAGCAGAAAAATTTTCACATGGCTTGGAATCCTCTTGGATACATCCTAGAGACCAGAACGAATTCCAGGGCACCCTCCAGTCAGCAGGGCTGGTGGGCGAGTGCCACTGCCATCTTTGGGTAGGGCGTGTGTGTGCACGTGTGCGTGTGCATGTGTGTATGTGCATGCATGCATTTGTGTTGGGGAGACTAAGGCATAGAGAAAGGCCCAGGTGTGTGTGTGGGGGGGAGTGAGCCTCCTGGTTGCTCCAGTCCCTTCTTTCCAGGCACAAAGAGGTTGAACTTGTTTATGTAGGTCCCCGTCATCTCACCTCATTTTAATAACAAATGTGTGTGTGCATGTATGGGTGGGTGAGAGAGTCATGAAATCCCTGTGCACTTCTAAATTTCAATAATTTAGTCCTGCAGTTTCAACAGAAATAATCTGTAAATGGCATTTAAAAGCAAATTTACTAAAGTTAGATCAGCACATATACATTGTTCAAAATCCTGTCATATATATTTTAAAAAAGCCTGTTGGGTGCAGGCAAAATTCTGTCATACAGCTACGGGAACTGAAGTCCTTATCAGCTGTACAAAGACAATTCACAGATTGTTTCTGCATTTTAAGGTAGCCAATTATTAAGCCACAGGGTTTTATGAGTACCCTGTGTGATTCACTCATTTTTCCAGGTTTCTGGTATAATGCATTCAGTTTGAGTTAGACTGTTTCCTTTCCCTCTTAGGCATTTGGCTCCCAAAGTCTGGTACATAAAAGTATTATTTCCAAGGACTTTAACTATTGGGCAATTTCCTGGTTGGAACTCCTGGAGAACATGCCACCGGCCTGAAGCAGTCTGACCTTCCCAACCAGTGGGGAGAGAAGAAACATCTCAGGCCAAGGCCAAGGGAACAGCCAGATACAGGACAGTAGGACCGTCTAGAGGGTCTGAGGGGGAAGCTCTGCATGGACCCTGGAAAGGGACATGGGAGCCTCACTTGAGATGATCTGTGTCCTTCCAATACCAGGTATCCCCAAGAGGGCCCAAGGGTCTGGGCCTGCCCTGAGGAACAAGGATGCATACTGACTGGAGGAGCCAACACGGAGGTGTGGTGAAGTCACCGTAAGCTCCCAGAACCTAGGCTTCGTACAAATACAAACAGAGAAAGTAAACAGTTCTTGGTGAGTCCAAAGGGACCCATCCTTACATCAAACAAGAAGCCAATTATTCACACACACTGTTCTCCAAAGAAATGTGTCTGCCCCTCCAACTAGCATCCTCATGTGGAGAGGGAAGGGGGCAGTGGAAGGACACAGCTCAAATGACATTGTGAACGTGTTTCCACGTCTATCTACATTCATATCATCATCATCATCATCCAGTGTTCTTGTCTACAGAGAGTGAGCACAACATTCTACCGGCCCAGCAACGACGAACAGGCTAGGCCACAAGTACGCCCCTTCCTCACACCACAGCAGAAGGGAGAAAGCGGCCATGGTCGGGAAGGACATCGCGCTATCCCACCCCCTCTACTGCCATCCAAGGGGCATCTTGACTCTTCCAAAATCAGATGTAAAAGACAAGGTCAGTCAGGCCAGTCTCTATGCCCCCTGAAGCTGTTATTAGCCCTCATGCATAAACATGGCCATTCTCAAAATTTCATAAACCTGAAACCATCTTAAAAAGAAACCTCAGCCACTGAAGCCTTCTAACAGTATTTCACCATGAATATTTAAAAGATTTTTTTTTTCCTAAGCAAAGTGGCCCCCAAAGAGCCCAATGATCTTTTAAAAAGGGTTTCCTTTTAATTAAAAAACAATTGATAAAAATGGAAGATGTAAAATGTGGGAAGAGGAACAAGGGAGTTGCTGAATTTGCGTTTCAAATTGAGAAGAGGGGAGGGCACAGCCAAGGAGAGAGAAGCCCTGCTCCTGAGGCCTCTCTGCTCTCACAGGGGCTGCACCCCTGGGGAACTCAGGACAAAGGCTGGAAGTAGGAGAGACCAAATGTAAGGCTTCTTTCTTGTGGTTGGGTGGGTGTTCATGTGTGCAAAAGTAATAAGCCACTTCCCACTGACATAAGGTGCGTGTCTGTGGATACCATACACGTGCTCCGAAAGAAGGCCCAGGCCCCAGGGTACCCATCACTTCTCCACTTTCTTGGCTTTCTTCAGGATGTCACATTTTTTTCTGTTGGGCCGGCGGCACCGTTCATCGATGCTGGGGATACATTCGTAATGCCACACCTCCTCCATCTTCTCCACGGGGTACACTGCCTCCACGTAGTGGCGGATGAGCCTGAGCCGCGTGGGGTCCAGCTGCTTCTTGTTGCAGGCCCCGGAGTGGTTGTACTGCAGCCGGAGGTTCTCGGCGGTGAAGAGTTCGGGGAAGAGCCTGACGAGGAGCCGGGCGGCGAAGTTGCCCACGGACAGGCTCTGCTGCACGATCTCGCGCACCTCCTTGTCTGACAGCAGGTACGGCGAAGGCACCGGGAAGTCGGGCGAGGGCACCACCAGCTCGTCCAGAGGGATCTTGCAGAAGTCCTTGCTGCTTCTTTCGGGGGGTAGCGGGGGCCCCTCAAATTCCTCTCGGAACCTCTCGGGGTTGATTGCATAGTTCGCCAGGTCTCTGCACTCGGGGCCTGGCACGTGGACCTTGCGCTGCTGCTGATAAGAGCGCCTCTGCTCCGTGTCCCGGCGCCGGCAGCGCTCGTCCAGTTTGCCCACAAACTCCAGCGTCCAGACGCGGTCGTTCTTGGCCCGGGGGTAGAGCAGCTGCACATAGTGGCGAATGAGCCTGATGCGGGATGGGTCCAGCTGCTTCTTGCCCAGGGAGCCGCTGCAGTTGTACTGTTTGCGCAGGTTCTCGTGGGTGAAGAGCTCGGGGAAGAGGTGCACCAGCAGGCGTGAGGCGAAGTTGCCGATGGACAGGCTGCTCTCATAGATGCTGCGCAGCTGCTCCTTGCTGAGCAGGCAGTCGGCGCCCGGCACCTCGAAGTCGGGCTGCGGGATCTCCAGCTTATCAAAGTCGATGGGCACCAGCCAGATCTTCTTGGACCGCCGGCCAGGCCGCTCGCCCTCAAAGCTGTCCTCCACCTTGACCACGGAGATGTCGTCGGGCAAGCTGGAGGAGTCGTAGCAGTCGTCCCTCGGGGGCTCGCCCTCGCTGCCCCCATCCAGCCCCAGGCCCTCCAGCTCATCGTTGATGCGCTGGGCACACTGCTGCAGCCAGGCCTCCTCCTCCTGCATGTCGGGGAAGTAGATCTCTGTGTAGTTGCGGATGATCTGCAGCCGCTGCGGGTCCAGCTCCTGCTTGCCGCCATCCCCATAACAGCTGTACTGCTCCCCCAGCTTTCGGTGGTCAAAGAGCTCAGGGAAAAGCCGGTGCAGAAGGAAGACCGCAAACTCGCCTGGCGAGGAGGCTTCGTCCAGGAACTCAGTGAGGTCCTGAGTGTCCACCACGTGGTCTGAGGCGATGGTGCTGCTCCGATCCAAGGACAGGGCCTCCTCCTGGTCTTTGCTGTCCAGGAAGTGGCCGGGGTCCACCTGCTCAGCCTCAAAGAAGCTGGAGACCTGGCCCCCCGGCTGGCTGTCCTCCATTTCCCGCTGGGCCCAGAAGCGGCTGAAGAAGTCATTCAACTGGGGCAGGCACTCTGCCTGCCACACGGCAGTGTCCTTCACTGAGGGGTAGTAGACCTCCACATAGTTGCGTATGAGCTGCAGGTGCAGCGACTCCAGCTTCCGCTTGGCTGCAAAGCCACAGGCACTGCAGCCGCGAGAGAAGTCCACGTCGCTGAAGAGCTCGGGGAAGAGCTGCACCAGCAGGCGGCAGGCCAGGTCGCCGCCCGACAGGCTCTGGTCCACGATCTGCTTGAGCTCTGCGGCTGTCAGCTGGTACTCGGGGGGCGGCTGGAACTTGGCCACCATCTCTGTGGGGCTCACCTGCTTCTTGATGCGGCTCACCTCCAGGGACAGCAGGTCCACCTTGCTGTGCAGCTGGGACATGTTGGAGGAGAGCGTATTGAGCATGTAGAACATCTTCTGGATCAGAAAGTAGATGTTGGGGTCACCGTCGGTGGTAGGGGCCACACTGCCACTGTCCCGCTTCTGTGTCTCGTTTAGGAGCCGCAGCGGTGAAGGGCTGTTGCTGGGGTTTGCCTTCTCCAAGAGCTCATACGTGCTGAGCACATCCCCCGCAGGAGGGTTCTTCTTCTCCATGATCTTGTGTGAGATGCCATACAGAGGCTTCTTGTAGGAGGGGGTGGTCACATCATTGCAGGGCTCCTCCTCACCTGGCCACATGGAGACCAAGTTCTTGCCCCTGCCGGCCTGCTCCCCATTGCCCTGGCAGGGCGAGCTATTCTCCCGGTTCCTCATGCCTGCTAGGAGCGCCTGGAAAACAAAAGCTGTATTAGGGGGTTGCTCTGATTTACTACACCAGACACAGGTCTGAGTCATACACACAGGGGCCAAGGTCAATCGCAGAAGCATGTGAGCAGCTGCTTCCCTCGCCCTGGAGTCACTCTGCCTGTCCAGGATGCACCACGAATACACACCTGCATCCCAATACAAACCTGCTTATGCCTATATCCCGAGAGAGGCTCAGACTGGACCCAGGAGGCTTCGAATTGATGTAGGACACCAACGCTGGAATTCCCGCCCATGGGCCTGACAGGAGATGAAGCACAAATGCTGGCAAAGACGGGCAAGAACCTCGCTTGAGATGGGAGAGAGACCATGGGAACAAGGAGCTCCTGTGGTACCCCTGCTATGGGCAGGTCACCTCACTGACCCGAGGCTCAGCTGTTCTCACACAGGGGCGATGACTCCAGCCTCCAGCAGCTCCAGTGTGTCCTTCAGTCTGCAGCCTCTAGGAGAACGGGTGTCTCCACTCAGGACAGCTGAGATGCACAGTGGTGGGCACAGAAGAATGGGGTCTAGACAGTGGCAGTGTGCTGCCAACTCTACCAAGGCCTGAAATCACATCTTATCTTGGATTGGAAAAGGGCTAGCCCAGAATTTTCCAGAGCCCATGCTACTGTGAGATTCCGTGAAATGATGGGGCCTCCCAGGTTTCTAAGTCTTGGTCTCCTTGTTGGTCCAGCAGCCCTTCTCAACCAGAATTCCAAGAGAGAATTAAGCCCCAATGTCCTAAGTCACCCACTGTATGTAATGAATTAACGTGTATCTTATGCATCTAGAAGGGTACTTGCTATGTATTTGTTCAGCCTTGCTCAACAGAGGCCTGTGGGAGAATTCAGCCCTACCAGAAAAGATTTGAGGGCCGGGCTCCTCCACCTGCTCAAGGACGGTACACTCTGCAGGTCCATTGTTGCCACTCCCAGAGAAGCCCAAGATACTCTTTAAGGACTCCAAGGCTGGACTCCAAACTCCACCACTGGAGAGCAGTCACCCTGACCATTGAGAACCCAGTTCTCAGTGCTTTCCTCAGTAGTTTTCCCTATTGTCAGGCCCTCAATGTTTTAAGAGGCTTATTTACATATATGGACAGGTGATTTTCAAAAAAGGTTCACAGGCAAGTCAGTGGAGAAAGGATAATCTTTTCCACAAATGATGCTGATTCATTCTACCATGTTCCATATACAAAAATGAACTCAAAATGGATCGCGGACCTAAATAGAAACCTAATTTAAAATTCTGACACTTCCAGAAGAAAACATAAGAGAAATCCTCTGTGACCTTGGTTTAAGGCAAATATTTCTTAGAACACTATAAGCACGATCCATAACCATAAGAGAACAAATTGATAAGTTGGACTTCGTCAAAATAGAAAACTTCTGCTCTTTGAAGGACACTGCTGAAAGAAAGAAAAACAAGCCCAGATTGGAAGAAAATATTGGTAAATGATTTATCTGATAAAGGACTTGAACCCAGAATGCTCAAAGAACTCTCAAATACGATAACAGATGGCTCAATTAACTATTTCAACAACTACTTCAAAGAAGATATATTAACGGCAAATAAGCACATAAAAGATGCTTATTAATGACATGCAAATGAAAACCACAGTGAAATGCCACATCACCCCCACTAGAATGGGTATAATAAAAAATGCAGACAATATGGAGTGTTGGAGAGGAGGTGAAGGAACTGGAACCCTCAGACTCTGCTGCTGAGGATGTAAAATGGTATAACCACTTTGGAAAGCACTTGGTACTTTACATGGACCATATGATCCAGGTATTCCATTCCTAGGTATTTATTTACCAAGCAAAATGAAAGCACAAGATCATATAAATAAATACTTCTAAGCACATGTTCATGGCAGCCCTATTTGTAAATAGCCCCAAACTGGAAACAACCCAATTTTTTATTAACAAGCATATAAACAAACTGTTATATTCATACAATGGAATACTATTCAGAATAAAATTGTTACACATGGTACTCATAAATCTCAAATTATGCTAAAAGAAGCCAGACAAACAAAAGAGGCCACACCGTATGATTCTACTAACATAAATTTCTAGAAAATGCAAACTTGTCTATAGTGACAGAAAGCAGATTAGTGGTTATGTGAGGGTGCAGGGAAGATGCAAAAGGGCATAAAGCTCTAATGTGGATGATTTAAAGCTGATGATGGATATGTTTATCATCTTGATCATGGAGATGGCTTTACTGATGTACATGGGTCAAAACTTACCAAATGGTACATTGTATGTGCCATTCATTGTATTTCAGTCCTAACTTTATAAAGCTGTTTTCGACAAATGTTGAATTTGACCCCAAAATGTTCGGGAATATAATTTTGAAGGTTTAACTGAGCAGAAGAGCTAACTGGCGAGCACTGGTGGATGTCAGGGGAGCAGGCAGGGTTGAAGCAAAGCATTTGCTCCCACTGACATGCACGTGCCCCAGGAAATGCAGGATAGACAGGAACAAAGTGTACCCTTAGGATGCTTCCACACCTGGAAAACACGGTTGGCTTAGGCTGGCCCTGCCACTGCTTCTGAAACCCTAGTATGAGTCACCTGCAGATTCTGATCCCTGGGTCTGCATTTCTAACAAGTTCCCCGGGTGTGCTGTGATTCCTCTCCAGGGCCTTGAGGAAGGTGGTTGCTCTCAGTTTTTCTCATCCAGACAGATTCAATGTCATTTGTAAGCCTTCAGATAACTAATGCCAGCATCAAACAGTACATGAGGTTTTTTTCTCTTGCAGGGCAAAGAGACAATTTCAAGAGGCCAGGTTTACAAAGGCAGGTAAGCACCATGGTGCTGAGAACACGAAGGCCTAGGGTAAAGACAGGCCATAAGGCCACATAAACCAAAAACTTTGATCCTGCTGAACCTCCCACGTTATTTTTCTTTTAATCAATTACTTCCTTGACCCTCTTAGATAACAAAATAATGTGACTCATATTACAGAAAGGTTAATTTTTCTCTTACATCTCTGTTGATAACCACACAAAAGAAAAGCTACTTTACTCTCCTAGGAACCTGAAGATACAGGAATTCTTGTGTTTTCATTATCCCACAGACCTGCCCAGTACTTTCTCAGGGGTTGTCTGTCGAAGCAGATGAAAGGTCAGAGGCATCTGGCCCTCCTGTATCCCACCACCGCCAAACTCAAGAGCGAAGGATGAGGGGCATGCTGGGGTGGGGGAGCGTGCCCCCTTGCCCCACTCCCTTCTGGGGTTTCCTCACCAAGCTGTCCCCAACCTCATCCCACTGCAGGATGGTTACATGACAGGACCAGGCCATTCCTGGTCTACCCCCAGTGCCTAGCACAGTGCCTGGGACACAGCAGAGCTCAATGAATGTTAATCAACCACATACATGGATGTTTAAAGCAGGGCAAGGGGTTCTACTCCTCTCAAATACACGCTTAAGACAGAGCAGTTCAGAGAGGCCACTCGCTTCATGAATAACCTGACTGTAGAGAGGCGAATGGAGTGGATGTTGTGTGACCTTGGCCAAGTTACATGACCTTTCATGTCTCAACTTCCTGTGTGTAACTCAGAGATAAATAATGGTATCTGTCTCGCGGGGGTTGTAAAGACCTAAAGAGATAATGTACACAAGTACTTAATATTTATTATTACAATATGGTTATTATTAAACAGTGTTACTCCTGAGCCAGAGCAGAGGTAATACTATAGGCCTTTTATAAAACTAGTTGTAATGATTACCTCAACCAGTAAACAAGAGAACTTGCCTACAGCACCAAGAGCAGGATAAGTCACTCTTGGAAGGTGACTCTTAAGAGGTCTGTTTGCCAGGGGAGGAGTACAGGACAACTGAGCTGAAGGTGGAAATTTAAACTCTTTGTATGTATATGTTCTTTTGTTCTGCTATCAGGCAGAAAGCAAAGTTTTAGGAAGGAAGGAAGAAAGCTCCCCCCTCCCCTGCAGCCCCCACACACATACACACACCAGAAACTTGGAAAAAGGAAGGGATAGAGATAGTTGGAAATCTTTACCCCTAATGCAGCGTGTTTGGAACTGTGGGTCATGGCCCATTAATAAGGGGTGAAATTAACTTAATGGATCATGACTAGCATAAGAAGAAAGAGGGAGGGAAAGGCAAAGTGTGAAATAAGAGTCTGGAAGAAAGAAAGAAAAAAAAAGAAAATAGAATAGAAAATACCAGAGTGCATTGCACACAGTAATTAAATTCAGGAAAGTTTTATTTCATTTCTCTGTGTGTAGCTTCATAATTACATGTAAGTCCATATATGTGAGCCGTATTTCTCTATAAGGTGGATTTAGGACTGTGATCACTGTTCAAAGCACCGCCCAAATAAATTCAAAGTGCCTTACTTGTAATTCCTACAAACTGTGAATTAGACTTTTAGCAACTTATGCACCATTAAATTCTATTACAACAAAACAATTCTGGAGGTCCCGTGGATCGAGATTACATGAGGTTTTACCAATATAGAGAAATTTGAGTTTGCAATGCCCATCACTAAAGAAATCATAACTGCATTGGGAGTGATTTTAGAATCTGGGCCTTTGCTTTACAACCAGTGACCCCACTAATATTTCTAAAGAGATTCTGTGCAGAGAGATCACCAGAAACGCACATGCTGTGAGCACATGTTCTAGAGGGAGGTCTGACCTACCAATCCCCAGCGTAGAAAGTAAGCAGAGTGAACTGTCTAAATACCAGCAGCAAAAGAAGTCCTCTGACTCCCCCACCCCCACAGCAGGCAAAAGGCCAGAGTAGGTTGGAACTGGAAATCCCCCCTATAACTCTCAATATTCAGCCTCATTAATAAAAACATTTCAGTTTCTACCAAGCATGTAAGAAATACTGCCACCCGCTGAAACATTTTTGGCTAACCGGCTTGAATGAAAAATTAAGTTAGAGTCCCAGTAGAGGGCAACATTTCTCACTCCCAGAGACCTTAGATACACAATTTAACACAA